GGTGAGCCGAGATCCTGCTATTACACTCCAGCCTGGGCAACAAGAGTGAAACTTCAGCTCAAAAACCAAACAACAAAAACCCAAGATGCTTGTTCCAGCGAGTTCTCCATCACTCCCTCTCATGCTTGTCCGCCTCCCCACCTCCTCCACCCCTGCTCCCAGGTCATCTGCTGATCACCGGGCTGGGTTTCACAGGACTGGTGTGAATCACCTCACCAGGCTTCTGCCCTTTGTAGTTTGTAGTAGCTAACTGACGAGTTTTTTCTTTTTCTCATGTCAGGGTGTTTCCACTGAAGCCTTTGTTTATGATGTGGGAGAGACAGGTAGCACCTAGCTAGCTGCCTTCTCTTGGACTTGCTGTATTTGGCTCTTCAGTCAGGCCAGGTATTGATTTTATTTTCCCTTGGGTGGAAATCAGGTGCACTAGCCTTTTTTTGGTTTTGTTTTGTTTTTTTGAGACAGGGTCTGGCTCTGTTACCCAGGCTGAAGTGCAGTGGTATTCAAATTAGAATCCAGATAATGTCTAAGTGCAATGGAGTGCTGTGACATTTAAGATTGCTAAAATGCTGGCCAGCCATGGTGTCTCACTCCTATAATCCCAGCACTTTGGGAGGCTGAGGCGGGTGGATCACCTGAGGTCAGGAATTTGAGACCAACCCGACCAACATGGCAAAACCCCATCTCTACTAAAAATACAAACATTCCATAGGTACCTTATTCATGATTCATTTGTTCAGGGCATACAAAAGGGATTTCTTAGGACCTAGCCTGGGCCTAGTGGTGTGGTAGGTGCCTGGGCTTCAGAGAAGGCTGGGACGGTTCCTAATCTCTGAAAGTCATGCCCTGATAGAGGAAACAGACGTAGAAACTGTGAGGGGTGTGGTCTTGGGGTCTGTACAGCGTGCTGTGGGAGCACAGGGGAGGGGTTCCTAACTTAGACTGGGGGTCAGGGAGGCTTTGGCTCCTGATACTGAATTACTTAATATTTGACACACTTTTTGTGTCAGACTCCCTGGCTCTTTCTACACATTGAGTCAGAGGGTATCTCTGGTTCCTCCCTGGATGGCCTGATACCAGCCGTTTCACTCGCCCTCCCAAGGGATTATCTCCTCTGGCCTCTCCGGGTCTCACGAGTGAAGGTGTGTGTTCCTGTGGCCTGGGTTCCTTGGAAGCATGGGTTATTCACTGGCTGGCCTCATCCCATACGGATCCTCTGGGGTGATCCTATTCGCCTGTCTCCTTTGCTCTCATAACTCCACTGCTGGTGGCAGAGGTGGGGATGTTGAGCTTGTGAGCAGAAGTAAGTACAACCAAGCCCAGAACTTGACTCTGCTCACCTTCCCGCAGTGGAGCTCAGGGTTGGAATCCTTTCCCCAGCCACCTCCCCTCCCATCTGAGGACAGAGGGTAACCTGCCCATCTTCTTTGGAGTTATCAGTGGGTCCAACTCTTTGAAAGGCCTTTTAGATAGCATATCCTTCTATTGTCTCCAATCTCCCTCCTCTCCAGCTGACCTCTCATATGGCCAAATTGATTCTGAGGTTGGGAATCCAGTTCTTCAAACTGAACTCTTCCGACTCTGCTGTGGTATGTGAAAACAGTTTCAGTATTCAGTCATGAATACCTTCCAAAATCCTAAATGTAGTACATGACCATTGGTATGGTTTGCCCGTGTCCCCACCCAAAATCTCATCTTGAATTGTAATCCCCATAATCCCCACGTGTCAAGAAAGAGACCAGGTGGAGGTAATTGAATCATGGGGGCTGTTTTCTCCATGCTGTTCTCATGACAGTGAGTGAGTTCTCACAAGATCTGATGGTTTTATGTGTTTAGCAGTTCCTACTGCCACCTTGTGAAGAAGGTGCCTTGCTGACCCTTTGCCTTCCACCATGACTGTAAGTTTCCTGAGGCCTCCCAAGCCATATGGAACTGCAAGTCAATTATAAATTATCCAGTCTCTGGAACTTCTTTGTAGAAGAGTGAGAATGGACTAATACAATCATGACCTTAAAAGCAAAACAAAACAACAACATGGCAGGGCACAGTGGCTCACGCCTGTAATCCCAGCACTTTGGGGGGGCCGAGGCAGGCAGATCACCTGAGGTCAGGAGTTTGATACTAGCCTGCCCAACACGGCAAAACCCCATCTCTACTGAAAATACAAAAATTAGCCGGGCATGGGGCATCCAACTGTAATCCCAGCTACTCAGGAGGCTGAGGCAGGAGAGTCACTTGAACCTGGGAGGCGGAGGTTGCAGTGAGCTATCTCGCCACTGCACTCCAGCGTGGGCAACAGAGTGAGACTGTCTCATAAACAACAAAAATAGCAACAACAACAATTTGAGGCCTTCTTTTTTGAGAACACAAAAGCAAATTAGACGTCACCCTTGCCCCTAAGGTCTCACCGTCCATTATCTATCTAGGTCATACGGTTTCCACTGCTGGTCAGCGTTTATGAGGCAAACCCTTTACTAACTTGCGTAACACTGCCCATCCTATCAGTTCTTCCTGGGAGACAGCAGCTGGGTCCTGTGGCAGAGGATGGCTGTTCCTTCCTCCCTCCCGTCACTCCCTTCCTCTGTCTCCTGGCGATAGCTGTGGGCTGCAACTCTGACTTGAGTGTTTGTGTCCCTACAGCGTTGTGTGGGGGCTCCCTTTGCAGCTACTTGATAAACACCCGCATGAGAAGTCGAAATTACAAGTTCATAAAGGAATCTAATTCGAGGTCACACTGCTGGTGGGTCCCTGTGGTTCCTGTTTGGTGGCCCTTGGGCAGAGCACATCCTTTGGCAGTTCACCCTCATAAACATTCAGTTTGGTTATTAAGTGGCCATAGTAACCCAAAGGAGTTAAGATGGAAAGAAAAGTACTTCTCGTTTTTGGCATAGGGTCACCTGTATGTCTTTGTTCTAAACAAAAGTCATTTCCTGTCCTGTTCTCTCAAGCATGTTAGGTGGGATGGAATGGAAGACGGCATTGCAGCAGAGAAGCAGGAAGCGAAACTGTACAGTAGCGCAGACTTGCAGAAGTGACCCCTTGGGAATCACAGGGTGCGGTTTTCTCTGCTTCTCAGTTAGATAACGTGACAAGTTGATTTTTATTTATTTATTTATTTTATGTTTTAGAAAATGAAGAGACCTAGGTAAATAACTGTGCCTTAAAGCCCTTGTTTCCACCCAGGGGTAGCAGCATGCTAGAAAAGAAAAGGGTAGGCCTGGGAAACTGGATTTGAATTTTGATTTTGTCACTTTCCAGCAGTGTGGCATTTCGAAAATCATTTGATTATTCTGAGCTTCAGTTTCTTCACCTGTAAAATAATCAACCCACAGGGTTATTCAGAAGATTTACAACAAAAGAGAGCGTACCTAGCACATGACTTTGTGTGAGTGATACTTATACCCGTGATGATAATGATAATAATCATCATAATAACAATTGAATGCTGGGCTCTCTGCTGCTGCATGTAGGCAGACGTGGCTCTACTTCCTCATCAAAGAGAGTCTCTGTGGCCCGAAGTACTCGGCAGGCTCCATGCCTTCCCCATATTTCTATGTGTTGAGATTAGATTGTCTTCAATCCTTAAATATAAACTCAAACAGTAGAGGCCTAGTACAGCTTCACCTTGGAGGAGAAAAATATGAGCATATAGAGTACTGTGTCAATTCAGCCCTGCTCAGCATTTGTTTTTAAAAATGGAGAGACTGAGAGAGAAAGAGAGGGTAACTGAAATAATGCCCACGGCTCTGGCAGCCACACCAGTGCAGGTGGGGAGACATGAATGAGAGATTCTCTCCATCTCTGTAGGGAGAGCAGCTTGTTGGGTCAGGTGTGATCCCAGTGTTTAAATGTTTGTCTTTTTAGTGTAACCTGGTAGTCAACTGAAGATAATTATTTCTTCTGGTACAAATCCTGATCTCTTTCAGGGCTGGAGTTTAACGCAGCTGTGTTAGATTCACTGAGTGAAATTTTGTATGAGTGTCTAGGGCTGTATAAGCAGACTACATATTCTGTATTTTATAGGTGATTCAAAGTGGGGGGACTTTTTATTTGTTTAACTTTCATTTACGGCACGTGACTAGTCATACAAAACAAGATTTTATTTTAACTGACTTCCAATTCAGCTGTTTTTTTTTTTTTTTCATTTTTACCATAGATATTTCAGTATGTGTATTTAAAAGATAGAGACCCTTTAAAAATAGGCCAGGTACAGTGGATTGTGCCTGTAATCCCAGAAATTTTGGAGGTCAAGGCCAGCAGATCACCTGAGGTCAGGAGTTTGAGACCAGCCTGGCCAACATGACGAAACCCTGTCTCTACTAAAAACACAAAAATTCGCCAGGCATGGTGGGTACCTGTAATCCTAGCTACTCAGGAAGCTGAGGCAGGAGAATCGCTTGAACCCTGGAGGCAGAGGTTGCAGTGAGCTGACATTGCGCCACTGCACTCCAGCCTGGGCGACAGAATGAGTCGTGCGTTTACTCTTATTGCACATACTATCCGTCTCACAAACACTTGCTTCCTGATGTTTTTTTTTTTTTTTTAATAAGAATAGGATCTTTTGTGATTCTTTTTCTTTTTAAATATTTGAATACAGGTCTACTTGAAGGACCAGTATATTGAAGGACTAGTCAGCTGTAGAAACCCTGACTTCAGGTCTTCACCCAAGAAGCTTTGTGTATTTACTTTTCCTGAGCCGTTCAGATAGAACATTGCATTTTTGAGACAGTAAGAGTTGGCAGCTTAGCTTAACTAGAAATAATCCGGATCTTATTTTGGAATTAGGAAGAAATATGTTATGATGTAGAAAAGCCCACTCTGTTACCTACACGGTGGCATAGCTTTGTGCTTTTCATGCTTTGTGGCCTTGCAAAGAGGTAGATAGAGTGTAGGTGGTTAGGAGGTATTTCCTGGCTAAAAATAGGAACAGGATATTGTGAGTCAGGAGCTCCTTCTCTCACAAACCTCTGTGCAAATAGCTGAGGGTTATGTATTTGCTGCAGGTGGTACTTAAACTCCAAGAACTTATGGCACACATGCTTGAGTGGACCATGGGTGAGCAGGAGAACCTGAAGTAGCAAAGGCAAGAAGGCAACGGCGTTCCATCTGTGGAAGGACCTACCAACCAGGTATCTCCGATGACAGGGCCCATCTCATAGGTGGCCCACTGTGCATCAGACCCTCATGTTTTCTTTGCATTAAGTGCTGTAGGATTCCAGGCTCATGCATACCTTCCTGATCCCCTGTTTTGCAAATGTTTGCACTCTAGGGTCCTTCTTGTTGACCTCTACATACGTGTCTTCTGCTTCTTGCTCCTCTCTGCTTGGGTCCTTGCTACACTGGTACTCTGTTTGGGTCCCTGGAATGTGGACCCACCTTCCACATTGTATTTGCCAGTTTGTTTGCAAGGCCATCTCCACTTTGAGCTTCTTCATGACTGCCTCACACAGCACCCTTGTTCTGTGTGGTAGTTTGAGGAGTTCTGTCTGTAGCACTGGGCTTTGGCTGTGTTGGAAGAGGGCAGCTGGGAAGGAGGAAGTGTACTCTTGGGGAAATTCATTTTTAGAGACATGAGACATGGAAAATAGTTCAGTAATAATATAAAATGATGCTACTTCCTCCTGACCTCTATAGTCCTTTGCATTTATCAAGCACTGCCACACGTGTTATGTTTTATCAAGCACTGTCATACGTGTTATGTTTTATCAAGCACTGTCATACGTGTTATCTCATGCAATGACCTGGGTGTCATCATGCCCTATTTTTTAAGTGACAAAACTGTCACTCAGAGGGATAAAATGACATGCTAAAAGTCATCTAGTTAGTAATGACAGAACCAGGGCTGGAGCCCAGGCTTCTGATGCTAAGGCTAGTTCTTTTTCAGCGCTCCATCATGTGTCTCAGGATGCGACACTGAGGCCTGGAAAGGAGAAGGAACTCACCCAGCCTAGAGATTAAGGATTTTAGGCTGGCTGCAGTAGCTTATTCCTCCTGACATTTCGAGAGGCCAAGGCGGGAGGATTTCTTGAGTCCAGGAGTTGGAACCTGGGCAACAAAGTAAAACCATGTCTTTACAAAGAATTAAAAAAAAAATACTCAGGTGTGGTAGCACACACCTGTAGTCACAGCTACTAAGGAGGCTGAGGCAAGAGGATCACTAGAGCCTGGGAGATTGAGGCTGCAGTGAGCCACGATGGAATCATTGTACTCCAGCCTAGAACAGAGTGAAACTCTATCTCAAAAACAAAAAACAAAAGGGAAGGATTTTAGACAGTGCTGACAATATTGAGACAATGCTGACCAGTGAGCCAGGATGGAGAAATAGAGAAAGAACTAACGTTGTGCAAATGCAGAACTATGTTGTAAGCCAGTGCTATCTGATAGAAATAGAAAGCAAGCTGCAAGTGTGGGCTGCCGCATATGTAGTTTTCAAATTTGTAATAGCCACATTAAAAAAGCAAAAAGAGGCTGGGCTTGGTGGCTCACACTTGTAATTCCAGCACTTTGGGAGGCTGGGGCAGGAGGATTGCTTGAGCCCTGGGGTTAGAGACCAGCCCGGGCAACACCTTGTCTCTATTATTATTTTTATAAAATTTAATTTTTTCAAATAAAAAAAGTAAAAAGAAACAGGTGAAATTAATTTAAACAATATAGGATAACACAGGGGTTAACGGCACTAGCCTGGGTGCAGTTGAAAATCTGTATATTTTCTAAAAGTAGACTGTGAAAAATAAAAAAAAGAAAATCCATGTATAGCTTTTGACGCCCCCTAAACTTAATACAAATAACCTCCTGTTAACCACAAGCCTTACTGATAACATAAAACATGGATTAACACATATTTCATATATTATGTTTTATATACTATTCTTATAATAAAGTAAGCTAGGGAAAAGAGTGTTATTAAGAAAATCATAAGGAAGAAAAATATATTTATTATTCATTAAGTAGAAGTGGATCATCATAAAGGTCTTCGTCCTCATCATCTTCACACTGAGCAGGCTGAGGAGGAGGAAAAGGAGGGGCTGGGCTTGTTTCAGGAATGGCAGAGGTACAAGAGGTAGAAGGACGTGGAGGGGGAGGCAGGAGAGAAAGGAACACTCAGTGTAACTATGATTGAAAAACATCTGCATATAAGTGGAACTGTGTTGTTTAAGGGTCAACTGTATTTTATTTAACCCAATATATTTAAAATACTGTTACTTTTCCATGTACTCAATATAAAATTACAAATCATACTATCTACATTCTTTTTTTCCATAAGAAATCTTTGATGTATACTTTTACACTTACAGCACATCTCAATTTGGCCTAGCCACATGTGACTAGTGGGCTGTTGCATTGTGGAGCCCAGTTCTAATCCTTTTACATATATTATTTCACATAGCTCAACAGTCCGTGAAAAGTTTATTACAGTACTAGCTCATGGTTGAGGAAATGGAGCCCAGAGAGGTTAGGTAACTTGCCTGGGGGTCATGAAGCTGGAAAGCAACAGAGCTGGATGCTGGCCTCTCCTTCCTCTTCCCACTCTGGCCAGTGGCGAGCCCTCCAGGAAGGGAAGAGGAGGGGGACGAGGTGAAGCAGGGGTAGCTAATTTCCAAACCATTGTTAAACTTGCTTCTGTGGAGGTGGCTGCTCCTGGGGCGGTAAAGGGAACCCTCCTCTTTAGATGCATATGCCAAAGCTAAGGGAGTCCTTTCACTAGTAAGCCTCCCTCAGGGGACGTGGGACCATTAACACCGCTTTCCTCTTCGAAGGTGAGCGCCATTCAAGTTGATAATGCAAAGGAAGAGCTCAGGTATGCCAGAACCAGGTCACTGTGGATGCTGAATAAATGTGTTTTCTGTCCCCTGTGCTAAGGCAAGAGACCTGGGGGAGTAGGCCTAGATTTGTTGCCTTCAAGGAAGAATAATGCTATATTTTGTATTTTTATATTTTTAATTATTTATTTATTTATTTATTTATTTATTTATTTATTTATAAAGGTGGGGTTTCACCATGATGGCCAGGCTGGTATTGAACTCCTGACCTCAGGTGATCCACCCACCTCGGCCTCCCAAAGTGCTAGGATTACAGGCGTGAGCCACAACGTCTGGCCTATTTTTATTATTTTTTTGAGATGAGTCTTGCTCTGTCACCAAGCTGGAATGCAGTGGCACGATCTTGGCTCACTGCAATCCCCGACTCCCTGGTTCAAGCGACTCTCCTGCCTCAGCCACCCGAGTAGCTAGGATTACAGGCACATTCCACCACGCCCAGCTAATTTTTTTTTTTAGACGATGTTTCGTTCTTGTTGCCCAGGCTGGAGTGCAATGGCGCGATCTCGACTCACCACAACCTCTGCCTCAGGGTTTAAGCAGTTCTCCTGCCTAAGCCTCCTGAGTAGCTGGGATTAGAGGCACTCACCACCACGCCTGGCTAATTTTTGTATTTTTAGTAGAGGCAGGGTTTCTTTATGTTGGTCAGGTTGGTCTCGAACTCCTGATCTCAGGTGATCTGCCTACCTTGGCCTCCCAAAGTGCTGGGATTACAGGCATGAGCCACCACGCCCAGCTAATTCTTGTATTTTTTAGTAGAGATGGGGTTTGACTATGTTGGCCAGGATGGTCTCCATCTCCCAATCTTGTGATCCGCCCACCTTGGCCTCCCAAAGTGTTGGAGTTATAGGCATGAGCCACTGCACCTGGCCAAAACTACTACGTTCTAACGGAGGGGAAGTGAAATAGGAGGGCCATGTGCATGCTCTGGAGGCAACAAACTTGGTGTCAAACTTGCTTTTCCTGTTTTACTTACAAACATTATGACAGCAGTAAAGATACACTTTTATTTCTTTATATATCTTTTAGAGACAGAGTCTCCCTCTGATGCCCAGGCTGGAGTGCAGTAGCTATTGTAGTTCACTGCAGCCTTGAACTTATGGGATCAGGAGATCCTCCTGCCTCAGCCTCCTGAGTAGCTGGGACTATAGGCATGTGCTATCACATAGAGCTATTTTAAGAAAATTGTTTTAGATTGTGTTGCCCAGACTGGTCTTGAACTTATGGCCTCCAGTATTCCTCCTGCCTTGGCCTTTCAAAGTGTTGGGATTTATCAGCATGAGTCATGGTGCCCAGCAAAGATACATTTTAAAAATCCTGCATCCTGATACAGTACTGTTTGCTTGTAACAATGGTCCCTCGTAATCATAGTCTATTTGCAAAGCAAGCTTTTAATAGAATTACAATTTTAGTGTTGATCAAAAGATTATTTTGGGCCAGGTGTGGTGGCTCACGCCTGTAATCTCAGCATTTTGGGAGGCCTAGGTGGGTGGATCACCTGAGGTCAGGAGTTCGAGACCAGCCTGGCTAATGTGGTGAAATCCCATCCCTACTAAAAATNAAATTAGGTGGGTGTGGTGGCTCATGCCTGTAATCCCAGCTACTCAGGAGGTTGAGGCAGGAGAATCACTTGAACCAGGGAGTCGGAGGTTGCAGTGAGCTGAGATTTCGCCATCGCACCCCAGCCTGGGCAACAAGAGCGAGACTGTCTCAAAAAAAAAAAAAAGTTTATTTTGTTTCTCCCGTTATCGTGAACATAGTTTTTCATCTTTATAGTGCATGTCGTGGGTTAATGGCTTCACAGGCAATCCTGGATTTCTTGATCACAATTTGCTTGTTCCTGTGGCTAGACATTTAGGTTGTTCCAAAATTTCTCAGCATTACATTTGATGCTACAGTAGGCAACCACATACTTATGCATCTTTTCTGTTTTTGAACTACTGTTGATCGCTCTGAGGTATTTTCTGAAGGTTTCACTTCTGTTTTCCCAGCCATGAGTGATGTATGAGCATGATAGTTTTGCTATCAATCACCAGCCTGGGGTATGAAAATTTGCTCAAAGTTTTGCTAAATTTAACTGTAGTAAAAATGGACCAAGTATTTGTTGTACTTCCCCAGGTGCTTCTTAGAACACTGCTCAAGTAACTGACCAGAGTGACAGGTGAGGTCATAGTTGGCAGAAAGGTGCCTGCCTTGGGAGAAGGTTGTTTTTCTTTGCAGATTAATGATGAGATCCAAATCCAAAGATTCACAGGTTTCAAGCTGGCCATATGGCTTCCCTAAGTGTGGCCTCAACTTCCTACAGTGGCACA